TGCAATTCGCTAGCTTGGTTTTTCATTATTTGTTGTTATAGTGACAATAGAACTACACACTGACAATTTCAACGATGGCAGTTGGCACCCTTTGGATACGAGTTCCTAGATAGCTAGAACTTTTGTTAAGCCCAGGGCCGGATTTAACCTAAGCGCCGCCCCTGGGCATAGTAAAAAATGCGTGATAATATAATGTCAAAATTATAAAATTTAAAAAAACCAATTGAAAAATAATAAATTACTTAATACCTATGTAATACAAGCTGTAATACAATCTATATCAATCGGTGGGCAGTGAGGTTAAATGGGGCTGCTCCGGATACTTCTCTGCCGTAGCAGAGTGGACTGGGGAGCAGCCCCATTGGTTTGGTGGTCTGCCTAATGCTTAGGCAGACCTGCCGCCGGAGCGCTGTAGTAGTTATGCGCAAGCGATCCTGCGGCGCCCCATTAAGGCAGGGAAGGGGAATATCGGGTTTTAGTGGGTAGTACCGGCGAGCCCCGCATCACCACCAGAGGGATCAGGTGGTATGCGTAAATGCATTTCCCGACAGTAAAAAAAGGATAGCTGTAATATGCGATCTTGTCCCATTGAGACGGGGAAGGTTCCGTTAGGTTATAGTGGGTAAAATAAATGCATTTCTCAACATGAAAAAAAGGATAGTTGCAACTTGAAATAAAATACATATTGAGGTAGGTGCAAATTTATTATGAAAACTTATTGCTAACACATTAATTACAAACATATAAAGAATAATTTATTTCATTAAAAATTATGATAAGTTTATTTTGTCTTTTACACACGACACGACACATATAAATAGATAATGACTTTATAAAATAAGATAAAAAAATCATTTCTTTTTAACAAAAATCGGATAAGAACAATGTATGGTCAATATAAACGTGTATTAAAGAATCGAACTCTTGACGCTCCAGGAATAATATGATAATATTAGCTTTATTTTCTAGTAGCGGCTCACTCTCGCTTCGCTTAAGTTTGTCCCTAGGTACGTTTTAACGGTTAGTATGGAATATATAGACTATAAACTATATGATATATTGCCTATAGCCTTCCTTAATAAACAGGCGATCTAATGCAAAAATATTTTTTTAAATCGGATTAGAACTTCCTGAGATTATCGCGTTCAAACAAACAAAGTCTGCCTATTTATAAATAGGCAGACTTTGTTTGTTAGAATAGTATAGATAACATTATGTTATAGCTAATAATAATTTTCAATACCTTAATTTGTAAGTTATAAATCAAGTGTCATACAATCTATAATGACTATCACATGAAGTAGCAGAGTATTCATAATTAAGTTTTTTTTTATTTAATTTTAAAAACAGGAAATACTTATTACTTATATATTTTTTTTTAATTAATTAATTTATTTATATATAATTCCATCAACAGCTTATTGTACAATAAAAAGCACTACATAAATATTTAAAAATCAAGCTAACTATGTTTAAGTTAATTAATTGTGAATCTGAAACATTTTCACGTTCACGAAAACATAATATAGATATAGAAACATGGGATAAGGATAATTTATGATCAATACAAACATGTATTATGGAATCAAACTCTTGACTTTCGAGGAAGTAAGCCATGGAAGTGCACCACACTACATTGTTTCTTTCCCACAGTTGTACTGTATATTGTAAAATGTATATGTATGGTCTTCCTGAACAATTTTCCTCTGCTTATTTCACTCTCAAATCCAATGGGATCATACTTCAACTCAACCGGTGAAAGGTAAGGCGCAGGATTGGCTTTAAGTGCTGCTCGAGACAGGAGATTGTAGCACCGCTAGCTTCCCAACTTCGAAATTATTATTTTTTATTTTGAATACTAACTTTCAGTTTGATAATTAATCATATTTTATCTTCGATCAACAATACTACTAGATATCGCGTCGGCGTAAGAAATCCGTCTCAGTAAATATAAGCTCACTTGCAAAGTGAGCGTATATTTCGGTTAGTTCTATTGAAACATTGCCAGCGTAAACACGTTCACAGTGGCGTAATGTGTATTTAAAAGTTGCAACAATAATACGCGAAGAAGAAATTTTTGGGACGGAGTGTTTTATTTTTGTCGTACATGTAGATTAAGTCAATATTTTAAGATTAATATAAAAATGAAATTTTGAATAATTATAAATCCGCTAAGAACGTTTGGCGAAATTCAAAGAAGCAAACAACAATATTATAAAATTTACGAAATGATCGTAAGTGTATAATGATAATTTGAAGATTTGTGACTTTATTACAAGGTGCTATGGTGTTGATTAGGTTGAAAATAAAACTATTATAAGACTTTGTCTTGGTTCGTTAGTATACAAATGTAGCTGTATAAGTGCATATTCGCGCGGACAGAATTTAGCTCTAATTTTCTATGTGACACGTTATCTAGTAGTATTGTTGATCGATTTTAAATATGTTTTTTAATTATATATCAGAACTTATACATAGTACACATTTTTATACACAAACATTCTAACAGAAAATTTATTAATATAGTATAATCAACTTCAAATTGTAATTCTTACAGAACAGTAATACATATTCTAAGGCGTCATGTCTTCGTGTGCATAGATTTAGAATTTAATAGTATTTCTATATTATATTCCTATGTAAATGATATGAAATGCAGTATTTCTGTGAGATCAAAGTATATTCCAATATTACATCCATAATTTTGATTACATATTATTATAGTAACAAAATAACATTAAGTTTTAAAAGAAATTGTACTTGTGGTTGACATATATAATAAGATTAAAATATTACTATAATAGGTGGAAATATTTCGAAAAATACTTAAAAAATTGGTTCGTAGTTTATTTTGATTTTTATTAGTCTAATATTTAGTCTAAAAAGGATCTAAGATCTAGGATAGTGAGTTTTGTAAACCTTATCTGTTTATGGAATCAAGGTCCAAACATGATATGTATGTACAATGTACATATGAGTGATATATATCTATGAAGTCATATTCTCCATGGATTTTTGTTTACAGCATCAGATCTTACTGAAGATTTTAACAAATACTTCTATTTTAAGATTAGAAAAAAGTCATGTTCTTTGTTGTTCTTCGATTTTTTAATATAAAGAGAAAGCGTTTTTCGTGTTTAAAAAACGAATAAAAACATATCGGTCAATTCTAAAATTCACCACCGAATATGAATATTTAATTTTCAATTTATAACGTAATACAATCAGACTTTCCATTGATATCATCGTCATATTGTAAATGTGCAAACAAAATCTTGAAGTCTCATACTATTACTAGGCTTACAATTAATAAAATACAGTTCATTAGGTACTTAATCAAAAATACGTAACAATAGTAAAAATAAACAAAAAAGGTTTAAAAGTAGGTATAACATAATTAAATGAGATGTCTTTTTTCTCCGAGACTAGAAGAAAAGTACCATACTCGTTGTGAAAAAATTAAATAAATATAAAATAAGCTTTTTCATTCATCTATAATACAATAAAATGATAATATTATTAAAAGCTTGTAAATTTACGTTTATCCCCTTATTTATAATTGTATATTTACTTAAATGTAATGCATAGCAACCATCTTTATAGAGCTTGTATATAAAAGCTGTTAAAAATGGTTACTTAGCATTTTCTAAACATCTTATTAAAAATATTATGACTCAGAAATTCTAAATACTACATTTACTATTAATCTTTTCACTTGTATCAATGTGTTGCTAGCTTTAATTTCTTTACAAGTCAATTAAGCTTATTTGTACGAAATACCTACTCGTATATGTATGTAACATACGATTCATCAAATTTAATAGGTTTGTTTGAGACTATCAGAGACAAAAATTTGTTGGTATTCAAAATCACATTTTTATTTCACTGATATGTATATGTATCATTCCATGGTGCGTGCTAATATTTTAACTTTCCAATTTTCTTTTTTAATTGATCTATTTGTTAATAGTCATTTAAGTGTCAAGAATGGAGAAAATATTATCATTTCTTTAAACAAATTATCCATAGAAATTTATTTCCAAGACACAAATCTCCTATTTCGTTCACATCATTCAAGAACTATAATAATATTGCCGATTTTTTCATGTATTAGCTGTTAACCAAGAACTTAAATAAAAGATTTGTTCCAGCCATTTGTAAAGGTTTATATTATGAAGAATGTTTGGTTTTTAGTTCCGCGAAGTAAGTGCTAATTCGTCTCTTGTGGAGTAAGTTCGTGTAGAAGATTGGCTCTTTGACATTGAACCACCTCGGACTTGTTTGTATCTGGAAATAAAACAAAATTAAATGAAGTTGGGTTAACACATAACTACAAACACACACGGTTAATTTCCAAATGTTAGTGTTAAATTAATCACATATCGAAGTACCAACAGACCACCAGAAATAAGTTAAGAAAAATTCATACACAATAATTTTTTAACTGAAGAAAAATAATTATTTATGTGCATAATATTATTTATGTACATTTATGTATATACATGAATAACAGAATCAAAATAAATCCATGAAATCCAAAAACAAAAAAATATATTTAGTAAGTGCTTAAGTAAGATCCATCAAGTTAAGAAATTCTTCGTGGTATTATGAAATAACACAATGAATAAAAGCTGTTTCTAAGATTTATAATATAACTGCAATGTTATTTCGCGTAGAAATGTTAGTTATAACCGCCAAAGAAGCAAAGCCTTCAAAATTCCCTTTACGTTTATAATCCATTTATATTTTATACCTTGGGTGCTAATTCTCTTCTTAATTGTTCCTTCTTTGAAATATTTTTTCATTCAAACATATTTTACTTTATTTAAATTTTGTTCTGTTTTTCAATTTCTGTTTAGATTTTTTTACCATTGCCGGATTATTTCCAAAAATCTTTCATGTTACAGATGGCTATGTGGCTATCTAATTATAGTTTTGATAAAAATAACAAAAAGAACTTTGAATTTTGTGGCAGTGGAATTTTTATTGCTTAATTTTTATAAATTTGTAGTATTCATGTCTTTATTACTATCTGTGTCATGGCAGTAAGTTCTGATAGTATCTAGACTATCTCTCTGCTGGTAGTCCCGTAGATTTCTTGTAATATATAGCTTTTGTGGTATCATTATGCTTCCTCTTGATTCATTTCGCCGTAAAATCCCATCTTTGATCCTAATCAAAATTAAAATATCTCATTCTTAGCTATCATAAACTTACGAATTCCTTATATGATAATTATTGTTAATTTTATCATGTCTATGAGTATAGTGGTTTATGTAATATCGTATTTTGAACTATTTTATTATTGAATTAGAGATAGGAAATCGTTCTTAATCTCACTCACCTTTGTTACAAGACAACAACAAGATTCACATACACACATTATATATTTTTATTTATATACATATATTTGTATATAAAAAATATATTCATCAAAACTTATGATGCAAAGAAGAATATATTTTTGAATATTCTGGCATTTTAAAGCTAAATCTGTTCAATAGAACCCCCCTTATATCCTGAGAATTAGAAACCATCACCAAACGCTTAGAGCAACACAGTGCAGACTTTCTATCGGCCAGAGAAATGGTCGGAAGTTCGCAGGATATAACGATTTTATAACTTCTTATCTATGTGTTTGATAGAAAATGTCAGTGTGCACGGAAATTGCAAGCACTTTTCATTTTCCTTTATTAGATGCAAACGGAAATCAAAATGGTTAGTTACTATGTACTTCCGGAAATGCATCGCTCACCGATTCATAAGAAAACAGAGTAAAGCATTAATAATATATTTTATTTTAGACATTATTATAATAGCCTCACCTTTTCTTCATAAGTCTGAAAATCTTGCGTTTGCAAACAAAGATAATGAACACGAGTAGACCGATGAGTACATTGTATGCGTCAGTGAAGCACCAGATCTTATTGGCTTCAGGAAATATGTGACTGATCACCTCCAAAATCCAACTTACTCCCATCACAGCGAAGAGTTTGACATAAAGAAGCAACCTGAAATAGATTCCAAGGCTGAAACAATCATTGTCAATTCGGGGCATGTGAGATGAAACGCGAGAAGGTTCGTACGTAATTTCATATAATAGTCGGGATGTGGGTTCAGGGTTGACAGATAGAACTGTGAATGAAATCATTATAGTCATGAAAATTGGTATTTTTGAAATATGTTTTTTTCAGACAGCATTTTCGTTAAAGATTTTTTACAAAAGTAAAAAAACCCAACTGCGTAAAAAGGGTACTTAAAAGATGAGAACAAGTCGAATAAGAAACACAATATTATGCAGTCGGAGACATAAAAAATATACAGTAATTAGTTAATTACATGTAACGAGACTCGCAGTTAGTATAAAACTTGTATGTCTCCGACTGCATAACATGCCGTGCCGTTTTTTACGCGGTCCGGTTTTTTTTTATTTTTGTAAATATTTTTTTATTTACAACTTTTTAGTTTTGATCAGTTAGATATTTATAGTTTTATTTAATATTTTTTTATTGAATTACTTTTAAACATATAAGTTGTATATTCTTGTAATGGCCTCTTAAAATATTTATATATTTTGATACCCAATTCGATTGGTTCGGACAAAAAAATATACTTCAAGACACAAATTCACGCCTCTAATCCGCCTTTTGAGCTTTAATGAAACCTTTATCATACTCGCGTTGTTTCCCCATGACACTCGCGTTATCAAGACGAATCTAACGGCGTATGAATCATCAAAATCAGCCGGCTTACCATTTAGTAATTATATATAATTATAGGTATATACATACATACAGATCAAACACATAACCCTTTGCGCTATGCCGCAGTCGGCTAAAAAAAATAAGCGATCGCCTATTCTATGCATTTTTATACAACGTTGCTAATGACATAATTATGTATTTAGCTCTATTTAATATTAATTTAGCGGAGCTTTCATTAATTTACGAACAAAGATAATTTTATACTGTGATATCATCATATTAGTATTACCTCTGCCGTTCACTTTTCTGTTTGTCGTGTGTAGCACTCTCTCCAGTCTTCAAAACTGACGTTTGTTTCTTAATTTCCGCTATTTTTAAGGCAGTTAGTGTGAAGAAAATCAAATTGACTACGGTTATTATAACGATCGGTCCATACAAGTAGAGTAATTTAGTGTGCCCTGAAAGTGATAATAGAAGTATTCTTATTAAATAAAACTATCTTTTCGGATTATTTCGCGGATTTATTTTGATTTTTGGTTCCCGACGTTTCGAATGCTTTACAGCATCCATGGTCACGGGAGAGACTGAGGTGTTACATGTCTTAAAGATATAGTTGTTACAGACAGCCTACCCACAATTAACAAAATGAAAATTGCACCAATTACATTACAATATTTTTAACTTTAAACATTTTTTATAATTTTAATTATTATTGAATATGGAAAATTATTTATTTAATTTTTGTTATTATTTTTATAATTATTACAATTTTAAAAATATTAATTAGTAATCTATATTTAGTGTTGCCATTATTATATTTATAACCATAAATAAAAATATAAAAATATAGTATTAATTATTAAAGCCATATAATTGTTCTATGTGTAATTTAAAAAGTTAAAATTAATTACGGATAATCATTTTAATTTAGTTTGCTATTATTTAAAAACAACTTACTAAGCAACACTATTAAAATATACTTTTACAAATGAAAAATATTAATCTGATAAGCTGTCATTTTGATCTACACAGTATGAACTTACTACATCTGCCTGTCTGTTATGTTTATATTTATTATTTGATTTTATTATATTAATAACAGGATCCCATGACGATGGTAGTACCCAGCCATCTTCCCTATTGAAATTTGGATGTTTTTTAATTTCTATGGCTTCTCGAATCGTTCTAGGGCGATATCGGTTTTCTTTCGCCAGGATTTGAGGTCTATCGAAACGAATATAATGGCTTGGGCGGTCCTGGCTATGTTTGCAGACAGCAGATGTTGTATTGCGACGGTGCTTCACATCAGCTATGTGTTCTTTGACCCGGGTTCTAATGGATCGCTTTGTTTGTCCAATGTAAGAGAGCCCACAATCACAATCAAGCTTGTAGACTCCTGCATCTTGTAGAGGGATGTGGCACTTGACAGGTGGTAAGAACTGACTAATTTTCTTTGGCGGCTTGAAGTAAGTTTTAATTGAAGCTCGCTTTAGAATGTAGCCAATCTTGTCAGTGACTCCTTTCATGTATGGCAAGACTGCAGGGACGCGCTCGACTGTGGCTGGTTTCACTCGGTCACTGTGACGCAGGCGCGGCACTTGCAGCTTGTTGTCACGCAGAACTTGCTTGACATGTTGCAGTTCTCCGGCCAGGTGTTGCTCGTCACAGATCCCGCGCGCTCTCTGAAACAGAGATTTTCCCACGGTAGCTAACTGTGAAGGATGGTGGTGAGATTCACCATTCAGGTACCTATCAGTATGGGTCTTCTTTCTATACACAGTATGACTCAAGGTGTTGTCTGGGTTACGTTTAACTAATACATCTAGGAAAGCTAAGGTTTTGTCCGATTCTAATTCCATTGTAAATTGAATTTTAGGATTTATAGAATTAAGGTGTTCTAAGAATACAGTTATTTTATCAGAAGGTAATATTGTAAAAGTGTCATCTACATACCGCTTGTAGAAACGAGGGGTCACGGGTGATGTGTTCAGAGCAGTCTCCTCGAAGTCCTCCATGAAGATGTCGGCTACGACGGGGGAGACTGGCGAACCCATGGCCACTCCATCCACTTGCCTGTAGAATTCACCATTCCACAGTAGATAGCCGGATGTTAGGCAGTGTTTTAAAAGTTCAATGTATTCTATTGACATGTTGTGATCTAGTAGCTTCCTAGATATTATTTCAATACAGTCTTCCACTGGTAGGCTGGTAAATAAAGACTGTACATCGAAACTAACCATTGTTTCATTGTCCATGAGTTTTAGGTGTTTAACTTCATTGACAAAATGGTAAGAGTCCTTTGTGAACGCTCTTGTTAATCCTCTGAGTGGTGAGAGTACTTTTGCTACTAGTTTAGCCAATTTGTAAGTCGGTGAGTCGATTTGACTCACAATTGGACGTAGCGGAGCGTTAGTCTTGTGTATTTTCGGAAGTCCATACAACTTAGGTGGTTTTGCACATGATGGAATAAGATTTTTAACATCAAGATTTAATGTGTCGGAGTGTTCCTTAATTAGCTTTTTAGTATTATTTAAAACGGTGGTAGTTGGATCCGTTTTAACCTTTTTGTACGTGCTCTCGTCCGACAAAAGTTGTTTTATTTTATCATTATAATCTGATGTATCCATCACAACGGTTGCGTTTCCTTTGTCTGCGCGTAGAACGGTGATGTCTGACCTATTGCGTAGGTTCTTCAACGCTAAATACTCTTGTTTATTGAGATTTGGTTTGGGCCTAGTACTACGACGTAATAAAGACGAAACATCTTGACGTATGGCCTCCATATCCTCAGTTTTCATAATATTTTGGGCCAGGGCATCTTCAACTGCGCAAATAATGTTTTCATAAGGAATGCGCGTAGGCGTTACAGCAAAATTCAAACCTTTATTTAGTACCCGAATGGTAGGTTCGTCTAACGTTTGTTTTGACAGATTGACAACCTGAGGTCCGCACGAGTGTGTATCTGTGGTAGACGGGCGCGTTCCGTTATACTCTATGGTTTTCTTTTTCTTTTTGATGTTTAATTTTTCAACGAGTTTTTGATATTTTAAAATATGTTTAATTTTGCACTGATTATATTTGGTTGTTTCACGCTTATTTAAAATGTCAATGCAATCGTTGAAATCAGATGGTGTCAATACTGTCTTAACAATATTAGACGTCTGTTCAATGTCCCGGTCGTTTCTGCGTAGATCGCGGCGATTTTGTCGAATCACTGTCCGTAACAACTTAAAACTTGCCTGGTTTACGATCTTAGCGCTTCCTCGTATGTTCTTTTTGGAAGATATTTTCACACACGTAGGAATGAGACGATGATCACGACATCTCTTCAAGAAAGTTAACGATGTTAATAATCTTGCGCGCTTTGTCTTTAGATCTTCTAACCGGCGTATCTTGTTTGCGGTTTCCAGTCCGTACTGGTTCACATAATACTTTCTTAGATTTACGCGAATGTTTGACATTATTAAATAAAACTATCTTTTCGGATTATTTCGCGGATTTATTTTGATTTTTGGTTCCCGACGTTTCGAATGCTTTACAGCATCCATGGTCACGGGAGAGACTGAGGTGTTACATGTCTTAAAGATATAGTTGTTACAGACAGCCTACCCACAATTAACAAAATGAAAATTGCACCAATTACATTACAATATTTTTAACTTTATAATTTTAATTATAATTGAATATGGAAAATTATTTATTTAATTTTTGTTATTATTTTTATAATTATTACAATTTTAAAAATATTAATTAGTAATCTATATTTAGTGTTGCCATTATTATATTTATAACCATAAATAAAAATATAAAAATATAGTATTAATTATTAAAGCCATATAATTGTTCTATGTGTAATTTAAAAAGTTAAAATTAATTACGGATAATCATTTTAATTTAGTTTGCTATTATTTAAAAACAACTTACTAAGCAACACTATTAAAATATACTTTTACAAATGAAAAATATTAATCTGATAAGCTGTCATTTTGATCTACACAGTATGAACTTACTACATCTGCCTGTCTGTTATGTTTATATTTATTATTTGATTTTATTATATTAATAACAGGATCCCATGACGATGGTAGTACCCAGCCATCTTCCCTATTGAAATTTGGATGTTTTTTAATTTCTATGGCTTCTCGAATCGTTCTAGGGCGATATCGGTTTTCTTTCGCCAGGATTTGAGGTCTATCGAAACGAATATAATGGCTTGGGCGGTCCTGGCTATGTTTGCAGACAGCAGATGTTGTATTGCGACGGTGCTTCACATCAGCTATGTGTTCTTTGACCCGGGTTCTAATGGATCGCTTTGTTTGTCCAATGTAAGAGAGACACTAAATATAGATTACTAATTAATATTTTTAAAATTGTAATAATTATAAAAATAATAACAAAAATTAAATAAATAATTTTCCATATTCAATTATAATTAAAATTATAAAAAATGTTTAAAGTTAAAAATATTGTAATGTAATTGGTGCAATTTTCATTTTGTTAATTGTGGGTAGGCTGTCTGTAACAACTATATCTTTAAGACATGTAACACCTCAGTCTCTCCCGTGACCATGGATGCTGTAAAGCATTCGAAACGTCGGGAACCAAAAATCAAAATAAATCCGCGAAATAATCCGAAAAGATAGTTTTATTTAATAATGTCAAACATTCGCGTAAATCTAAGAAAGTATTATGTGAACCAGTACGGACTGGAAACCGCAAACAAGATACGCCGGTTAGAAGATCTAAAGACAAAGCGCGCAAGATTATTAACATCGTTAACTTTCTTGAAGAGATGTCGTGATCATCGTCTCATTCCTACGTGTGTGAAAATATCTTCCAAAAAGAACATACGAGGAAGCGCTAAGATCGTAAACCAGGCAAGTTTTAAGTTGTTACGGACAGTGATTCGACAAAATCGCCGCGATCTACGCAGAAACGACCGGGACATTGAACAGACGTCTAATATTGTTAAGACAGTATTGACACCATCTGATTTCAACGATTGCATTGACATTTTAAATAAGCGTGAAACAACCAAATATAATCAGTGCAAAATTAAACATATTTTAAAATATCAAAAACTCGTTGAAAAATTAAACATCAAAAAGAAAAAGAAAACCATAGAGTATAACGGAACGCGCCCGTCTACCACAGATACACACTCGTGCGGACCTCAGGTTGTCAATCTGTCAAAACAAACGTTAGACGAACCTACCATTCGGGTACTAAATAATCAAGGTGTAAAAGTAACGACAAATAGCGTACCCGTATGCATTCGTTACTATAGCATCAGTACTCGTTACTTTTGAATCGTTACTCGTTACTTTTGATACCATACTCGTAGAGCATCGTATCGAGTCGTGTTGCGTATGTATTGCGTACGGTATAAATTATACGTTATACCGTATATCGTTGACGTCGCGTTGTTTTCTGTGGAATAATGCAATTGCACGATCAACAAACCATTTCAATTGGAGAGTTACATGATATCCAGAACCCTTAAATTTTGATTATTTATAAATCTATATAATTTTTAAAAACTTTACTAACAATATTTTTTATTAATAATTTTTGAAATTAAATAATAAATATAAAAATAGGTAATTTAAAAATGAATAAGTAACGGCATCTATCACGTTAGTGTGACGTCGTAATGCATATTTTATTTAAAATCAATTGCGCGAATGATTTATCAAATCATAATCTGTATGTATTACACATAATCACATGATCATGTCTCACGTAGGATAAATAGATAATTATTGTATTACAATATTGTACACAATTATTATTTTAAAAGAGCCGTTGTTGAGATTCTCGCCGGTTATTCTCAGCAGAAAACTTTATTCCGAGCCGGCGGTAGTTCCTAACGGACTAACATTTTATTTTAATTTAAAATGTAAAATTGACGATTCAAAAGAGCTTGTAAAAGTTTATTTGAATAAAGTATATTTTGATTTCATTTGACATAATCATTTAGTAAAAATTATAAGTATTTGTTGGATAAAAAACTAAAAATGTGTTCTAAATATAATGGTTGTTTCTAATTGAAAATTCTTTCTAAACAAAATTTCTAAGATCTGGAAATCATGCAACTCGAAATAAATAAATAAACTCTCTAATTTACTCATCAATGGTATTAAGTATTAACTGAAAGTTGTATTTTGCTGAATAAAAAAATCAATAAAAATATTAGTACGAAAATATGTACGGAAAATGCGAGTAACAAAATGCATTCGTGAGTAACGTTTCGGTACTCGGTACTAGATGGCGTACCCGTTACTCAGTAACGAATACATACGGTTTGCTACAGCTCTACTAAATAAAGGTTTGAATTTTGCTGTAACGCCTACGCGCATTCCTTATGAAAACATTATTTGCGCAGTTGAAGATGCCCTGGCCCAAAATATTATGAAAACTGAGGATATGGAGGCCATACGTCAAGATGTTTCGTCTTTATTACGTCGTAGTACTAGGCCCAAACCAAATCTCAATAAACAAGAGTATTTAGCGTTGAAGAACCTACGCAATAGGTCAGACATCACCGTTCTACGCGCAGACAAAGGAAATGCAACCGTTGTGATGGATACATCAGATTATAATGATAAAATAAAACAACTTTTGTCGGACGAGAGCACGTACAAAAAGGTTAAAACGGATCCAACTACCACCGTTTTAAATAATACTAAAAAGCTAATTAAGGAACACTCCGACACATTAAATCTTGATGTTAAAAATCTTATTCCATCATGTGCAAAACCACCTAAGTTGTATGGACTTCCGAAAATACACAAGACTAACGCTCCGCTACGTCCAATTGTGAGTCAAATCGACTCACCGACTTACAAATTGGCTAAACTAGTAGCAAAAGTACTCTCACCACTCAGAGGATTAACAAGAGCGTTCACAAAGGACTCTTACCATTTTGTCAATGAAGTTAAACACCTAAAACTCATGGACAATGAAACAATGGTTAGTTTCGATGTACAGTCTTTATTTACCAGCCTACCAGTGGAAGACTGTATTGAAATAATATCTAGGAAGCTACTAGATCACAACATGTCAATAGAATACATTGAACTTTTAAAACACTGCCTAACATCCGGCTATCTACTGTGGAATGGTGAATTCTACAGGCAAGTGGATGGAGTGGCCATGGGTTCGCCAGTCTCCCCCGTCGTAGCCGACATCTTCATGGAGGACTTCGAGGAGACTGCTCTGAACACATCACCCGTGACCCCTCGTTTCTACAAGCGGTATGTAGATGACACTTTTACAATATTACCTTCTGATAAAATAACTGTATTCTTAGAACACCTTAATTCTATAAATCCTAAAATTCAATTTACAATGGAATTAGAATCGGACAAAACCTTAGCTTTCCTAGATGTATTAGTTAAACGTAACCCAGACAACACCTTGAGTCATACTGTGTATAGAAAGAAGACCCATACTGATAGGTACCTGAATGGTGAATCTCACCACCATCCTTCACAGTTAGCTACCGTGGGAAAATCTCTGTTTCAGAGAGCGCGCGGGATCTGTGACGAGCAACACCTGGCCGGAGAACTGCAACATGTCAAGCAAGTTCTGCGTGACAACAAGCTGCAAGTGCCGCGCCTGCGTCACAGTGACCGAGTGAAACCAGCCACAGTCGAGCGCGTCCCTGCAGTCTTGCCATACATGAAAGGAGTCACTGACAAGATTGGCTACATTCTAAAGCGAGCTTCAATTAAAACTTACTTCAAGCCGCCAAAGAAAATTAGTCAGTTCTTACCACCTGTCAAGTGCCACATCCCTCTACAAGATGCAGGAGTCTACAAGCTTGATTGTGATTGTGGGCTCTCTTACATTGGACAAACAAAGCGATCCATTAGAACCCGGGTCAAAGAACACATAGCTGATGTGAAGCACCGTCGCAATACAACATCTGCTGTCTGCAAACATAGCCAGGACCGCCCAAGCCATTATATTCGTTTCGATAGACCTCAAATCCTGGCGAAAGAAAACCGATATCGCCCTAGAACGATTCGAGAAGCCATAGAAATTAAAAAACATCCAAATTTCAATAGGGAAGATGGCTGGGTACTACCATCGTCATGGGATCCTGTTATTAATATAATAAAATCAAATAATAAATATAAACATAACAGACAGGCAGATGTAGTAAGTTCATACTGTGTAGATCAAAATGACAGCTTATCAGATTAATATTTTTCATTTGTAAAAGTATATTTTAATAGTGTTGCTTAGTAAGTTGTTTTTAAATAATAGCAAACTAAATTAAAATGATTATCCGTAATTAATTTTAACTTTTTAAATTACACATAGAACAATTATATGGCTTTAATAATTAATACTATATTTTTATATTTTTATTTATGGTTATAAATATAATAATGGCAACACTAAATATAGATTACTAATTAATATTTTTAAAATTGTAATAATTATAAAAATAATAACAAAAATTAAATAAATAATTTTCCATATTCAATTATAATTAAAATTATAAAAAATGTTTAAAGTTAAAAATATTGTAATGTAATTGGTGCAATTTTCATTTTGTTAATTGTGGGTAGGCTGTCTGTAACAACTATATCTTTAAGACATGTAACACCTCAGTCTCTCCCGTGACCATGGATGCTGTAAAGCATTCGAAACGTCGGGAACCAAAAATCAAAATAAATCCGCGAAATAATCCGAAAAGATAGTTTTATTTAATAATGTCAAACATTCGCGTAAATCTAAGAAAGTATTATAGAAGTATTCTTTTAATATTATATTTAACATCTCTGTTATTACATATCGATTATATGAGAACTTATTTCATATTGTTGCATAGTTGAAAGTGTAGAACGTCTTTACATCAAGCCTAAACTATACTTAAAAATCAATGCCAAGACAGTTTTCAATAGACATGTGAGATAAATGACATTTTTTTTTCCTGTAAATGATCATGAGTGCGACCAAACAATTCCCAGAAAAGAATAGAGTTTTCAAATTTCCAAATACTAGAATGTTCTTTGTCTATCTATACTAATATTATAAAGAGGTAAAGTTTGTGCGTTTGTGACGTTGTAGGGGGTAATCTCTGGATCTCCTCAACCGATTTAAATGAAATTTAGTAAGAAGATAGTTTGAGATCCTAGAAAGGACATAGTATACTTTTTATCTTGGAAATCATCCCTTAAAGGGGTGAAAATGGGGGTGAAAGTTTGTATTGGGCAGCAAGCTAGGTACGAATCCGAGCGAAGCAAGGGTGAATCGCTATCCTCTCTGATTATGTAAAGTAAACATACCCGATAGAAAACATCCTTCTAGCCTTATTGCCGGTAAAAATGGTCGACGCGGCAGTCCAGAAAACTCTAAGCCAATTAACAAAGCGGTGAGTATCGTAGGAACTCCAAACGCATATTTACAGTATGCGTAAAATTTTGCACGTATTGACTTCTTCTCTGTAGCCATGCCGCGTTTGCCACTAAAATTTTATAAGTTAATTATATTTAAAAAAAATGTTTTAAATGTAAATTTCTTTTGCATACGTATGTGTAGGAGCGGAGCTTCTATTTAGTAGGCTTTCTATAAGTCTATAACAAGCTCTGAGGCAACTTTGTGATAAGATGGTCGAAGTCAAACAAATCAAAAAAGTATTAATACTATGATGAATATATGTATGTTTGTAATATCTATCTCTTATAAGCATTTGCTTATAAATATTATGTACTTAAAAGTTCAAACAGCATCATACCTCCTATATAAAAAAAGACAAAGACAAAACAGTTCAGTACCTTTCTCTTCTCTGTTTTTCCGCCTATTTTTTTTTATTTAGTTGTTATTGATCAGCTTTAATGTTATTAATAAAAGAACTCGGAAACAGAATTTTTTTTATATTTAAGTAAATTCTTTTTGAACAATAATTATGGCTGAATTTTAACCACACGGCGAACCTTAGTATTTGTAAATGTTTAAATACCTGAAAGTCCACCAAATGTCGAAACACATGACGTTCAACCAGAAGAACGCGGACAGCAATGAAAAATAAATGATGAAAGCTGAAAATAAATAAAATTTATCTTTAACTAATTAAAATTAAATACAATTTTAATGCTTAACTATCAAGCTTATACTAGAATTAAGAACTTAGATTCTTTAATTCCAACTTCAATCCAGAAAAACTGACAAGCTAAAACTTCACGAGTAGCTTCGTTTTGACGAGACGCCCAACTTTTCTTTCTACGAATGTTTGATATTGATAGATACAATTGTGGATTGATACGAAACACGTCGAAATGGTGATTGTATAAAATATATTACTAACAGGTTGTTTTACAATTTAATCATGAGATAATCCAACATTAAACAAGAAAAAAATATTGTACTACAAAACAGTTGGTTTGGATCAAATTGTCCCCCTCTCCGAACTTGTTAAAATAAAAACGTCATAAAATTTATTAATAACCGGCCGATTTTCATAGTATTTATTATTATACTCGTATTCACTTTATATAGTATAGTGTAATCTTTACTAATATAATAAAGAGGTAAAGTTTGTGAATTATGAGTTTGTGACGTTGTAGGGGGTAATCTCTGGATCTACTGAACTGATTTAGATGAAATTTGGTAAGAAGATAGTTTGAGACCCTGGAAAGGACATAGGATACTTTTTATCCTCGAAATCATCCCTTAAGGGGGTAAAAACGGGGATGCAAGTTTGTATAGGGATGCAAGTTAGTATGGGGAATAAACATAGGGACGAACCCGAGCGGAGCGAGGGTGAGTCGCTAGTTGATGATAATTAGACATAATGTAAGAATGACCTAACTTCACCGGTAAAAATAAACAATAACTCATAGGATTTTCACAAACTACTCGTCACGTGCAAACATCACGTTTGTATGCGAATTAAATGAACAATAGCTTAATGAGGATGGAAACAATTTATAAAAACTTCCTACAAATTAACATAAGTGCTGAATTTAAAAAATATAAAATAAATTATAACTATGCCGAGTCTGTACATTAGATATTTTTTGGAAAATCTTAATGTTTATTTTATCGATACAGAGGCCGAATCTATCGTTTTTAGAATTTTTGTCTGTCTGTCTGTCTGTTACTGCATCACGGAAAAACCGTTGGAGGGATTTTGATGAAATTTGGTATGATGATAGCTGGTTATTTGGGTCAACATATAGGATACTTTTAACAGCGGGAAAATATCTCATCTCTGAAAAATCGATACTAAACGTTAAAACGTAAGTAAGGACGAACCCGAGCGAAGCGAGGTTGAGTGACTTGAGTCGCTAGTAGTTAATATAAATAGAGTGTCATATCTAATATATTTAAACGACTTTCTTCAACTGCCTCGGTGGTGTAGTGGCTAGCATGTACGGCTGTGTACACCCGGAGGTCCTGGGTTCGAGTCCCGGGTCGGACCAAGTTTAATTATTGAGTCTTCCTGTATAGTAAGTCTCAGTAACAGCCCGGAGTTGGGAAGTTGGCGGTGTTTTACCCCCGTGCCTCGGAGAGCACGTAAAGCCGTCGGTCCTGCGCCTTAACTCTCACCGGTCGTGTCGAGTGGTCGTCCCACCGGAGTATGAGAGTGATAGGAATAGAGAGTGCACTTGTGTCTGCGCGTACACTTGAGCACTATAATATCTCCTGCGCAGTTGGCTAGTCTCAATGAGATTGGCCGCCGTGGCCGGAATCGGCTAGGAGAACATCATCATCATCATTTAAACGAGCAATTCTTGTAAATATATATCCCTGTGCATCATCTATTGTTTATATCTTCTTTTTGTATATTTCTTTGTCGTGTACAATAAAGTATCTATCTATCTATGGTATGTTTTTATCATTGATTTTACACATGTTACCGGAAAAGCTAATAAAAGTATAGTTTATATATGTATTCATATTATTTTCATTTTGTTACATAGGTATATAAGAAGCTATTATTTGATAAACATTTATTAAAATTAAGGTAATTTCTTCCATTTTTTGAAAATTTACCAATAAAATCCGGTTTATTATGACCCGGTGTCATTGTACCCACTTATAATTATTTTCACGTCATTGGCGCTGGGTTAAGACTGTAATATGCAAATTAAAAATAAAAATTCCATAAAATTGCCTGGTGTGCTTATTTATGGGTGTTGTCAAGCTATACAGAAATAAATACTTAAGCAAAACAACAAAACAGATAAAACATCGTTTCCAAAAATAGCCTATTTTAAATCACGCTGAGACATCAATGTTTGGATCAAAGATCAACCATTAACTAGTGTTTTCGAGCTCATTCATAGAGAGAGAATTTAGTATAATCTTAGTTTTCAAGGCAGCTATAAAAATACCACCCGATTTATTTTAGAAGAATCACTTTAATAACAGTATAACAGATGACGGTGATAACTCAAATCTTTGCATGGAAAAGTTTTGTTTACTATGTTCATTACTTTTTTTTATATTAAAAGCTTTTTTTCAGCTTGCCTTATACGTATACATATACTCGTATCTGTCTTCGTGATTCAACATTTCTAATTTTTCGGCAAAACGCGCAGTAAAAGTCAAATGTCAATTAAGTGTAAGTAAGTTTAAATTTAGCCCTTTTTAACGTTTCTGGGCTCGGGCCACTCTTCAATACGAGGAAGATCAGGCCATAGTCCACCACGCTGGCCACATGCGGAATGGCGGACTACACGTGCCTTTCGAAAGCTCACTAGTTACTAGGTTCTCTCAGACGTGCAGATTTTGAAATAATTCGTACATGAAAATATCAGAGGTACGAGACCCGGATTTGACACCGCTTCACTCGTTTTCCTAATTGTTACCATTAACCATTAATCTACCTCTGATTTCGTATCTTAAATAAAGGTACATGTACATACATATATTCTTGAAATGCGTAAGTCGCATTATAATGACCATTACGTCTTAAGTTGCAATTGACATTTTAACCTATTTGATGTAATTGAAAATGTAATATAATTAAATTAAAATATCATTTAAATTCACAATTTAACCTACTTTTTACATTTTGTTTTGATACAATGTGTAACTGTGACATACACTGAATAGAATTCGAAACTAAAAATTTCTTAACAAATAAAACCAATAACTTGGTTCGACTTGAGACTCGAATCCAGATTTGCAGCTGTACTTGTTAGCCACTAGACCAAGCAGTTCAGGTATCCTATACTATTAAACGAGCAATATTTGTATATATTTTTTTGAAATCATGTTCTCGTAAGGGGCTTTACCGATTTCGATGTTTGCTATTTAGGGGGTAAAAAAACCGACTTCAAACAAAAGCACTAAAAAGTAAAAAATAACTGATTGGTAGTTTTCATTTACTATACATACCTAATCAAAAATATTCGAAGTCGGTGTGCTTTGCTTTATATGGCCTGGCACCGATTTCGAAAATATTTGATTAGGTATGTATTTAATAGGTAGGCTTTAATTACTTAGCCAAAGCACACCGACTTCGAATATATTTGATTAGGTATGTATAGTAAATGAAAACTACCAATCAGTTATTTTTTACTTTTTAGTGCTTTTGTTTGAAGTCGGTTTTTATTTTATTGTTAAAAAGTTTTTATTTTTCCCTTTTTAGTGTAGACAGTAGTAGCATAGTAAGGATTCTAACGTGTTAGGCTTGTCAAATCAAACAAAATAAGCCCAAACTCAAAGTATCTACTATTAGCCGTTGAAGAGTTCCACCTATCCACCTTCTGGCCTTGCCATCAGATCAGGTCAACAACACCGAACCACTGTACTATCAACGGAAATAGAAACACTTGCAAAGTTTCAAGTCAATATGACAATTAGAAGAAGGTTAAATTCATCATTAGCCATTTTTCCACCCTTAGAGGTGGTTTTTTTTTTTGAAATTTATATGGGACCAATCTGGAAGTATACACTTTCAAACAACACAAAAATTGTTCAAATCGGTTAATAAATGACGGAGTTCTGAGGTAACAAACATAAAAAAAAAACATACAGTCGAATTGAGAACCTACTCCTTTTTGAAGTCGGTTGAAAATCGATCTAGCTAGTCTCATATCTGGGTAAAATTCGTTTTCTCGGTATTTTGACGCAAAAAGATTTGCCCGCGCATTATGACCGCCGCCGCGCCGCTGCCGTCTGAATAACCTAATGGTTAAAGTGTTGGCCTACTGCCTACGCCGAAGGTCAGATGATTCTGATTTTAGTCTTATAATATTAATTGAGAAATCTTTGTATATTTACATATAAATTTAATTCTTGTATCTTGGAAACGGCTTTAACGATTTAGATAAAATTTTCTGTTTAGATAAGGTTTTGCTTTTTAAGTTTAGTGTATTTTCTGAAAAAAATGCAATTTTATATCTTTTCTTTTTAGAAAACAAAAAAAACGCCGAACGAAGCTTGGTCGCCCAGGTATAAAATTTATAAAAATAAAATAAGGTAAAAACTTTACAATAAAAACCCGACTGCATAAAAGCTAACTACAGAGATAAAAACAAGTTGACGAAGGAATATACATAGTATTATGCAGTCGGAGGCACACGTGTGTTCATCTCGCGGGTACCTGTACCCGGTTTTTGTTTTTATAGTATAATTTGTATTTATAGCTTTTTAGTTTTTGCCAATTAGATATTTGAAGTAATATTTACCAATTTTTTGTCCTAAACTACTTTTAAACATATGTTTATATTTTTGTGATCGCCTCTTAAAAACCTTTAGTTTGATATCCCACTCGATTGGATTGATAGTTTTTTTTGAAAAAGACACAAATTGGCGTCTGAAATGCGCGATTTTAATTTATAACTATTTTTATATAACACTCGCGTTATTAAAAGACGAATCTAACGACACATGAATCATCAAAATCGGTTCACGTGTTTGGTTTCTAGAATGCCACATAGGAACAAACATACATACATATATACATAGACTGATAAACACATTACCCTCCCTTGCGTCGCGCAGTCGGGTAAAAAAATAAAATCTAAGGTAGCACTATAAAAAAGTGATTAACAATGCGGGAAAGAGCTATAAACTTAACACGCCA